CCATGATGAAATAAACAACAACACTCAGCTTGTCAAACTGGCTGTGTGACTGTAGGATCCCAATTTACTTCCTGGGTTTGGATCTGTACTTCAGCCAAGCAGCTTTACAGAGGAACACCTATGTCCCAGGTGCACATGCTGTGCATCACCTTTAATCACAGATGCACCTCTGATTTTTGGTTTCCCAACATGTCCCCTACAGCTCTGGGCTCTCTGGTTGCTGTTGCCTGAAGATGCACTTCCCTGCCTCAGATGAATCCTGCCTTTCCAGAGGATGCAGCAGATTAATTTTGGTTTACAGGGACTTAAGGGAACAGCATCCCTAATTTCCCAAGCCAAGAAGGATGATTGTGAGGAAGACATTGGCCACTGGTTAGGCAGCTTGGGATTCAGGTCCCAAATTTGCCATAAAATCTAAGGGGTTCAGCCAGGTCATTTAGAGCCTTCATATGTGCTTTATATTGAGATGGAAACATTGTGGAGCACGTATTGAGTTGGGCAGATACCCAGGATTGAGATTTAAAAGCTGGAAGTGCTTAGGTGTGCAGCCCTGCAAAGCCTGGGCTGCCCAGTTGCCTCGCTTGCCCCCAGTCCCCTGCCACTGCTGGGAACTGAAAGAGCCAACCATGCTCCACAAAAACAGCAACACAAGCATTTTTGCATAGACACTCCCTGTGTTCCTGGGCTGTGGGTGTTCAATGAAAGCAATCAGTGAAAACCCCTGAACAATAAACTCATTCACATGGTATCTCAGGTCCTCAGCTGGGCATAACAACCACAGAGGGGAACAGCAAAGGTGCGTGGAATAATGGGAGTGAGACTTGCCTGACACAATGGTCAGCACCATAAGAGAAAAGTGAGGGTTCCTGCCTTTCCAGGCATACTCCAAAGGCAGGTGCCCAAAGGCCCAGAGCTTGTGAGCACTGCTAGCTTTAGGAGCAGGCTCCTGGCAATTTTGGTAGTGACACAGACCCTGTAGCAGCAGGACTACAGGGGTACACCCACCACTGCATGCATCCCCACTGGTCACCATCAGGAGAAGGAGCAAGTCCCCAGTGACATTTTGGGGGCAGCAAAAGGAGCATCTGGCATTTACACAAACACTCGGAGGACCACTGCTGCTCATCAAATGGGGCTGAAGTCAACATCCACAGAGCCTCCTGCCCATGTGCAGTGAGCCTGTCCTGGTATGGGGAGCACCAAGAAGCTCGTTCAGCTGGGCATAACAACCACAGAGGGGAACAGCAAAGGTGCGTGGAATAATGGGAGTGAGACTTGCCTGACACAATGGTCAGCACCATAAGAGAAAAGTGAGGGTTCCTGCCTTTCCAGGCATACTCCAAAGGCAGGTGCCCAAAGGCCCAGAGCTTGTGAGCACTGCTAGCTTTAGGAGCAGGCTCCTGGCAATTTTGGTAGTGACACAGACCCTGTAGCAGCAGGACTACAGGGGTACACCCACCACTGCATGCATCCCCACTGGTCACCATCAGGAGAAGGAGCAAGTCCCCTGTGACATTTTGGGGGCAGCAAAAGGAGCATCTGGCATTTACACAAACACTCGGAGGACCACTGCTGCTCATCAAATGGGGCTGAAGTCAACATCCACAGAGCCTCCTGCCCATGTGCAGTGAGCCTGTCCTGGTATGGGGAGCACCAAGAAGCTCGTGTGCAACCAATACAACTGAGAGCACACTGACTCAGGTGCCCTGGTCAGTTAAATGCAGCTGTGCTAGAAGAGACAGAAATACTATACTGGCACAGTGTGTAGGATGCCTTGGTGGGGTGGACACAGTAGGTGTGTAATTGAGACAGGCTGTGGTTTCAGTCACAGAAAAAGGTTTAATCTTCTAAATCCCTGCCAAGTGAATGACTGTGCACTCCTGCTGCCTAGTCCCTGGACAGAGTCCCTTCCCATCTCCAAAACTCACCACTCTCACATAAGTGAGAGCTACTGTATGTTATGAGGTTATGCAGGACATTAATTTTCATCTGCGTTTCAAAGAAGGCTCCAGCAGCTGAAAATTGTATTGGATTTGGTACAGGACAGTGCATTGCCCTGTTTTCTCCAGTTCCCAATTACACCCAGACAATTAGCTAAACACAACAGCTGTTTTGATCCTCAGCTGAGGAGAAACCACGTTTGTATAGAGCCTAGATCATGTTAATATGAATCAATCAGTTTCTGACTCCTGTTAAGAGTTTAGAAAGGGCCTCAGAATGTTACCAGGGCTCATGTCTTTCATTCTTGTCTCTACTTTGCTGTTTAATCCCAAACCTATCTCATGGTATTTGCAAGAACTTGTTAAAAAGAGCACGTGCCAAAGTTCCAAACAGACCCACACCCCGTTCCCCTCCCAGTTAAAACATGTTAACTAGCAAGTAAGCACCTTGTCTTTCTACAAAGTCACCATTTAAATCCTTATCAACACTAAACAGTTGTCTTCTGTTAAGAAATCAATCTCTCCTCCGTAGACAAACAATGCTTGTCTCCTCAGAGGAGCACCACAAACACTGGCAATGCCCTGCAGAGCCCTTGGAGACCCTCGGATAAGAGATGCTTAGCTCATCAGAGACAGTAAAACAAGAATGCCAAACACCTTTCATTGAAGAACAGGGCTGTGAGTCACTCTGATTTCCATTACAGAGCTCCAAGACATTAAAAATACAGTAATAATCTTATAAACCTCTCAAGACTCATATCAACTGACATGTTAGAATGCACACATGGGGCTGCATCACAGGAGAAGAATCACTTGTGACTGTGGTAACAGGTGTTTAGTCTGAGAGGACTTGACAGGGATGGTGGATGAGTAAGGATGCCACAAACACACCCCTCATCAGTAACAGGGCACTCATCAGCTCTTCCCCACCCCAGGAGCTGGAGGTGGCTGGTTTGGACCAGCCAGCCACATCTGACATGCTGGGCAATGAGCCATGGTGCCACTCTAACATGGAGCACAAGATGGGACATTTGTACAAATATCAAAGGTAAAATACATGGGAAGGAGGACAGAGAGTGTTTGCAGGGAACAGAGGAGGAGTAAGAGATGAGCAGCTCTGTCCTTGTCATGTAGCTGTGGGTACAGCCAGCACACTCACTTATGCCTCCTCCCTGTTCCCTGCAGGTCTCCCTTCATCCCCTTGGGCTGTGGGGTCTGTTGCCCCTTATGCCTCACACGTACTTTCTCCCTGTGATTGAGAAGATGGATTTTTAAACAGCATCTTAACAGATGGGAGAAGACACTCTTTACTGTGGCCTGAAAAAAAAAAAAAAAAAAAAGAAGCCCTGTTGCACACAGAGATCATCCTTCAGAGCTTTAATACCCTAACAAGAGTCAAAAGTCTGTGTCGTTCTATGCAGCTGCCCCGTTTGCTGAGGCTGGGAAAGGAAGCCCATTCCCAGGAGAGTTTCACAATCCCTCCTTCACTTCCCACCATGCAAGTCCAACAGCTCAAGCTCTTCCCGCTCCACGGGTGCCACCCTGCCAGCCACCAGCCCTGGCCTGCACCCCACCTGGCCCTGCACCCTCCACCCAACCAAACTCCTGTGGCAATTTCATCCTGCCTTTGAAACAGGAGGGACACCTCTTGTGCCTGCCAGGTTAGAGCTTTGATTGAAGTGCATCCCTGCCTGTGTTTAAAGGAAAGAAATGTTGCTATTTGCTGAGGCTTGCAACCTTCATTTGTTAAGTAACAGGAAAGATCTTTCAGTCACGTTCCTCCTCCCAGAGGACCAGTTCATTGCTCAACAGCCCTCTGGGTGCATCCCTCTATCATTACAGGATTTCCCTCAAAAAGTGCTCTGCCTGGCTAGCAGCAAGGATGAAGGTTCCCCATACCAGCAAAGAGGTATCTCCACCAGAACAGGCACATTTTCCCTGTGTGTATTATTAAACAACTTACTTGCCTGCTTTCTCCACCTGCTCCTCAGGGCTTCCAACTCCCACACGTTCTCCCCCAACCTAGCCCTTCCCCCTCACCTGCCTCACCAGCCCCAGGTGACATCTCATCAGGCTGGGGACACATCCCACCCACCAAATGAGCTATTGCCATCACCTGCGGCCACCGCAGGGCTGCCTGGTACCTCATTAATGCACCCCCCCCTCCCACACAGGCACAGTCCTTACCACTAACACAAAAAGCACTGGCAAGGCTCAGCAATCAGTTGCACTTGCTATTCATTACACATGTGCAGAACACATCCCCGCTGCTCTGAGGGAGTAGTGTGCATATTTTAAAAGACAATATACAAAACATAGCTGAATCCTAATGAATCTACTGCTTTGCTGCTGGGACTGAATGGAATTGTACAGACCCTGCCAAATGAAAAAAAAAACAAACCAAACAACAAACCAACCAAAAACGCCCCCCCCTCCCAAAAACCCAAAACAAGCCAATCAAAAAAACCCTAAACTGCACAATATTTGACTTGTAATATAATCTTTAATATCACTTTTGTAGTATGTTACTATTGTGCTTATCAGGGCTGTAGAACATTGACTGTAAGGAGCAAAAAGATTAAAATGCAATAGGCAGCCCTGTCAGAATATTAAAGTACTTGCATAGTCAAGAAAATTCACATTCCTGGAAAAAATTAACTTCACACAATATGATCCCTTGACATATAAAGTTCCCACCAAAGAACAAGGGCTATTAGCATGAATGCATGTGCTGAGATCCAACCAAACCTTGCTAGTTTGATAGCAGCAAGTCCAAAAGGGGGCAGGCAGGAATGTATTTGTGTAGCACCAAGATCCCCACTTGAATATTCAAGCTCCATGACGAGGACAGCAGTTACAAGGAGAGTCACCAGCAGGTAAAATTCGCAGGAGACTTCACTCTGTGCTACACAAACGCTGGGTGCACCTCCTCCAGGGGAGGTGTTAAAAACTAGCAGGAGCAGAACTCTCCGGGTACCCACACACATCCCAGCGTCCCCCCACCTCCTCCCTCCTCAGCTAGGCAAGGAGCACTCAAGTTTGAGAAGTTTCCCAGAGTACCGACAGCACCACCGATCTGAGACGAGCCGTTCTGGCCGATAACGACCAGGGAGCATCGCACGGGAAGCGCCAGAGCCATTGATCGTGGGGAAAGAAATGGGCCGTGGGTGACCACCAGCCCGGATGAGACCTGCCAGAGGGAAAGCAGAGAGGCTGCTCATCTGCCCGCTCTCAAACCACCAAGCCTATTTGCATTTGGGAAAACAGGACGCTCAATGTCGTGCCTGTTAAGCCTGCGAGGGTAGGAAGTCCACACAGGCGGGCAATTTAGGAAGAAACACGGAGCAGGCAACGTTAGGCAGATCCAGCGGGTACAGAAAACGGAGTGAGACGCTGCTCTGAGCGGCAAAAAAAAAAAGATCCCGATCTGCAGATGGTGTAAAACGAGAGGTAGCCCCGCACCCCTCCCTCGCTGCCCGTGCCAGGCACGGGGGGAACTTCAGGACCCGGGTGCGCTGCCCCGCACCCGCCCCGCACCCGCCC